CATCAAAGTTGTATTCAAGTCGCATCAAGTTGCACTGTAGAGTCGCAATGAAAATCGCACGATTTTGAAGTCTCACAAGTGTGAATGGATCCTAATTTGCTGCCCGGGGGGACTTTTACCTTTGTGGAGGGACTCAGCAGCTTCCAGCCACTTGGACCAATACAATGTGTATAGTTGTGGGTGTCAGGGTTGTCAGTGAGTGATATTTCCCTGTCCAAGAAGAGGAGCAGCAGGGAGCTGAGTTTGGGGGGGGGGGGGAGAAGAAGGCGGGCAGTCTTGGAGGGGGAGGAAGAACGTTTGGGTGCCTGTGTGCAGTGCTGCGACAATTCATGGCGCCATTTGGGCAAGGATGGCAAATTGTGGCCCTCCCAGGTGGAGGGGGCGGGGCTAACAGCGATGAGCGGGTACAAAGTGCGTGTAATGTTTCTGGCATGTGCTGTACCTGTAGGTGTGCTCAGGGGCGTCCCTAGGGTTGGTGTCACCCGGTGCGGTAACACTTGGTGACACCCCCTCCAACGATCCCCGCAGAATGGATCGGATCTGCAGATTGAGCATAATGGATCGGAGTCCGATCCATTATCCTCCCCAATCTGCAGATCCGATCCATCCTGCGGGGTTTGTCGGCTTGCTTTACAACTTACCTTTTCATGGAGCGGGTTCGGTGTCACCCCCATGCGGTAGGTGTCACCCGGTGCGGGTTGCACCCCCTGCACCCTGTCTCGGGACGCCACAGCATGTGCTACAATCTGAACAGTTGAAAATCATTGCACAAATAGGGGGCTAACAGCGGTGAGGAACAAAATGTGTCCGTGTCGGTGGTGTCACTGGAAGAAAAAACACGTCTGTGTTGGTGGTGTTACTAGAAAGAAAAAAATGTCTCTGTGTCGATGGTGTCACTGGAAGGAAAAAATTACTCTTTGTTGATGGTGTCACTAGAAGGAAAAAAAATATCACTGTGTTGGTGGTATCACTGGAAGCAAAAAATGTCTCTGTGTCAGTGGTGTCACTGTAAAGAAAAAATGTCTGCGTCGGTGGTGTCATTGAAAGCAAAATAATTTCCCTGTGTCAATGGTGTCACTTGAAGGAAAAAATGTTTCTGTGTTGGAGCTGTCACTGGAAACTCCAACAGTGTGTTGGTGGTGTCACTGTAAATACAAAATGTCTGCGTCGGTGGTGTCATTGGAAAGCAAAAAAAGTCCATGTGTAAATGGAAGCAAAAACTGTCCCTGTTTCAGTGGTGTCACTGGAAGAAAAACAAATAGGGGGCTAACAGCGGTAAGGGGAAAAATGTGTCAGTGTTGGTGGTGTCACTGGAAGGAAAACACGTCTCTATGTTGGTGGCGTCACTGGAGGGAAAAATTGTCTCTGTGTTGGTGCTGTCGTTAAAAAGAAAAAATGTTTTTGTGTCAGTGGTGTCACTGGAAGGAAACAATGTCCACATGTCTGTGGTATCACTGGAAGGAAAAATTCCCCTGTGTTAGTGGTGTCACTGGAAGTGAAAAATGTCCCTGTGTCAGTGGTGTCACTGGAAGGAAAAAAAGTCTCTGTCTGTGGTGTCACTGGAAGGAAAAAAGGTGGTGTCACTAGAACAAAAATATGTCCCAGTGTTGGTGGTGTCACTAGAAGGGAAAAATGTCTCTGTGTCGGTGGTGTCTCTGGATGGCAAAAATGTCCCTGTCTCAGTGGTGTCACTGGAAGGGAAAAATGTCTGTGTCAGTGGTGTCACTTGAAGAAAAAAATGTCCCTGTATCAGTGATATCACTGGAAGGAAAAAATGTCTCTGTGTTGGTGGTGTCTTAAGAAAAAGATGTCTGTGTGTCGGTGGTATCACTGCATGGTAAAAATGTCTGTGTTGGTGATATCACTAGAACCAAAAAAAAAATTCTGTGTTCGTGGTGTCACTGGAGGGGGGAAACTATCTATGTTCCGGTGGTGTTACTGGAAGGAAAAAATGTGTCCCTGTCAGTGGTGTCACTGAAAGAGAAAAAAAGTTCCTGTGTCAGTGGTGTCACTAGAAGGAAACAATGTCTCTGTGTGGGTGGTTTATCTAGGAGGAACAATGGTGCTGCATCACTATCAGTGGGGAGAACTGCGGCTGCATGGCTGGTGTCAGTCTGAGGAGGACTGTGAGTGGGATGGAGGAGGGAAGGGGGCTGAGCTCTGAGGGGTGCATAGAACTAAATGGATCTAGGGGGCGCTCTGAGGGACTCTACTGGCTCATTCAGATTTGTTTTATGATTTATAATAAAGTTGTGTTTTCATATATCTTTTTGTCATGTTTTTATTGGTAAAATAAATATCCGCACCACAACGGGTCTAGACTTTCTCTACTCCATCCTATATTTTACGAAAAAATGTGGGCTATACATTATTACTTATTACCAAAATTGTCCTTCTGGTAACATTTCACCCCCCAAATCCAAATCACCTCCGCAACATCTCCAACCTCCGCAACATCTCCAAGATACAACCGTTCTTAACCTCGGAAACCACTAAGCAACTTATTCCCTCCCTGGTTATCTCTCGCCTTGACTATTGTAACTCCATCCTCATTGGCCAACCTCATCGCAGGCTATCCCCTCTTCAGTCTATCATGAATGCTGCTGCCAGACTTATCCACCTTACTAACCGTTCCATATCTGCCACCCCTCTCTGCCAATCCTCCACTGGCCTCCACTCAGTGTCCTCCACCCCTCTCTGCCAATCCCTCCACTGGCCTCCATCCCTCTCTGCCAATCCCTCCACTGGCCCCCATTCAGTGTCCTCCATCCCTCTCTGCCAATCCCTCCACTGGCCCCATTTCAGTGTCTCCATCCCTCTCTGCCAATTCCTCCATTGGTCTCCACTCAGTGGCCTCCATCCCTCTCTGCCAATCCCTACACTGGCCTCCACTCAGTGTCCTCCACCCCTCTCTGACAATTCCTCCACTGGCCCCCATTCAGTGTCCTCCATCCCTCTCTGCCAATCCCTCCACTGGCCCCCATTCAGTGTCCTCCATTCCTCTCTGCCAATCCCTCCACTGGCTTCCCATTGCCCAACAGATAAAATTCAAAACACTAACAATCACTTTCATATAAAGCCATTTATAACTCTGCCCCAAATTACATCACCAGTCTTGTCTCCAAATATCACCCAAACCATCCTCTCCGCTCCTCGCACAACCTCCTGCTCTCTAGCTCCCTTGTCTCCTTCTCCCATGCTCGTCTCCAGGACTTCTCCAGAGCTTCCCCATCCTCTGGAACTCTCTACCCCAATTTATCAGACTATCGCCTACTCTGCTCACTTTTAGGCAATCTCTGAAAACCTATCTCTTCAGGGAAGCCTATCCTGCCCTCAGCTAATAATGGATTCTTCTACTCTTCAAACCAGTCCATCCCCCACAGTTACTACCTTTTGTACCACCACCCCCTCCCTCTTAGATTGTAAGCTCCCAGGATCAGGGCCTTCCTAACCCTCTTGTATTGAAACTGTATTGTTGCTGTATTGTCTCCCGTTATATTGTAAAGCGCTGAGCAAACTGTTGGCGCTATATAAATCCTGTATAATAATAATTTAATTAAACAACATTAGTAAGGTGGTTGGATGTTTGGCTTGGAATTGTTACTGTTTGTTGAAGGTCTGTATTGTTGTCATATCACTATAACATTACCATGTCTGCACTGAAAATCAGATTTACAACCAGCTGGTCTGTATTGTCCTGTATTGTTTACATCACATAGATTCTGAATGGCCACTCCCAACCATTGGTAGGTGGTGAGGTGGGGTCATTGACTTTGGCTGGACTCTATTCAAGTCAACCTGACACAGAGCTTACCTCCCAGCTGGAGACTAAACAATGCACTTGGACCCTCTCCTGGGCCAGCCTGGAGCCATTTTAGTTTATGCAGAAAACTTTACAAATTGTAACACAAAGTTTTAAAGAATTGCTTATTTCTGTGTTTTTCATTGTGTCAACAAGCTATATTTTTCAAACATTACAGAATACATGATCTAAGTTATCATTTTAGAAAACCTATAATATTGTATTTGAAAACCATACTGGCTACATGTGCAAAAAAACATTTATTGTAGCCTGTCATTGGAGTTTTTTTGCTGCTTTACACAAATGTATGAATCTAGACTGGGAAAATAAGAAGTGTTAGGCCCCATTCACACTAGGATGTTGTATTTGACACTGTGATTTTTCCTGGGATTCAAAAATGTCCTATTGTGAATGAAGCCTTAAGCTGGCCATACATGGATCAAAACTCAGCAGGTTCAACAGGGACTGGCTGAATTTCAACCCATTTATGGGCAGGTTGGTTGTACACAAGTGGATCTGTCGATCGAGTTATGTACAACCAGCCTGTTGGGTTTTTCCCGAACAATCAGTGTTGCTGACTATAGCCGAAAGCATTGATCTTTGTTTTTCCTCACTGACAGAATACAATACCACAGTAGGAAGGATACTGAAAGCTTACAATCTAAGAGGAAGGGGGGTACAAAAGGTAATAACTGTGGGGGATGGACTGGTAGAAGGAATAGAAGATTCCGTTATTAGCTAAAGGCAGGATAGGCTTCCCTGAAGAGATCACCTAAAAGTGGGCAGAGTAGGCGAAAATCTGATAGATTGGGGTAGAGAGTTCCAGAGGATGGGGAGAGGCTCTGGAGAAGTCCTGGAGACAAGTATGGGAGGAGGAGACAAGGGAGCTAGAAAGCAGGAGGTTGTGGGAGGAACGGAGAGGATGGTTTGGGTGATATTTGGAGACCAGATTGGTGATGTAATTTGGGGCAGAGTTATAAATGGCTTTTTATGTTATTGTTAATGTTTTGAATTTTATTTGTTGGGCAATGGGAAGCCAGTGGAGGGATTGGCAGAGAGGGGTGGAGGCCAGTGGAGGGATTGGCAGAGAGGGATGGAGGACACTGAGTGGAGGGCCAGTGGAGAGATTGGCAGAGAGGGATGGAGGATACTGAATGGGAAGCCAGTGGAGGATTGGGCAGAGAGGGACGGAGGACACTGAATGGGGGCCAGTGGAGGGATTGGCAGAGAGGGGTGGAGGACACTGAATGGGGCCAGTAGAGGGATTGGCAGAGAGGTGGGGTGGAGGACACTGAATTGGGGGCCAGTAGAGGGATTGGCAGAGAGGGATGGAGGACACCAAATGGAAGCCAGTGGAGGGATTGGCAGAGAGGGATGGAGGACACTGATTGGGGGCCAATGGAGGGATAGGCAGAGATGGATGGAGGACACTGAATGGGGGCCTCTGGAGGGATTGGTTGAGAGGGGTGGCAGATACAAAATAGTTATTAAGGTGGATGAATCTGATAGCAGCATTCATGATAGACTGAAGATGGGATATCCTGCGATTAGGTTGGCCAATGAGGAGGGAGTTACAATAGTCAAGGCGATAGATAACCAGGGAGGGAATACGTTTGCTTAGTAACTTAGATGTTGGATTATAAAGAGCTTAAGGAGAAAGGATATTTTTTTGAAGACGTGAGGTGTACATTACGAACAGAGACAACATTTTCTACGCCGAACGGAAAAAGCCATTTCCAACAAAGGTGGAGGCCTTTGATACAACCACGTCATCTTATTTTTCAAGTAATATCAAGGCGAATCGCACCCTCAGCCATGTACTAGAGCTCCAACAGCAAGGACTATCTGGCTGGGATTAAATTCTGTTAATTAGAACAAGGTGTTCACACCTTCCACAGGTAATTGGATATCCCCAATGAAACTAAGGCTGGCCATAGAGTAGATGGAGCAAAATTTCTTTCACTCGATTCCCCCATCAACACAGACTGGGATGGCTTTACTAAAACTGGAGAGTGCAGATTCTGGTGCACCTCTGCAAAGGAACCCATAGACTATTAGAAGCTTTTAGTAGCAGTAGTGTTTACCAGCAGGAGCCCAACAACCCCCCCCCCCCCCCAGGGGCAGGTTTCCAGGAGGAGCAGCGTTTTGGCAGAAAAAAATGCTTGTTGCAGTTAAAGGCGCCTAAATGCTAAGCGCATCTAATGCTTAAGCATTAATTCATTTAAATGGCTAGAATAAATTATCATTGACTCTCGTAAATGCACCTGAAGGATTGTAAAATGATTAGATTCTTTTGCTAGAATCAGAAGTTATTTCTGCATAAATGCTGCTGCCAGGAGTGCAGCTTCTAGGAGTTTTTCTAAAGTTCATTGTGTGTAAGGCCTTAGTAAATCAACAGCACTGTGCTGACAGGGGAATCCCACCCACTGAGCCATTGTGTTGTCTCAGCAGGGGTGGGAGGCAGATCAGTGATCACTGCTGGGGGCTATAGTAGCTGCTAGCAATAATCACATGTAAAATCCAACAGGTTGGTTGTACCCAAGTTGATCAACGAAATTCGAATCTCCTCTGCTCCCTGCTGATCCAGCAAAGATTGAAACCATCTATGGCCAACTTTAGACTGTCTATGCCAAACTGGTAAAGCCATTTACAACAAAGGTGGAAGCCTTATGGAAGAAAAAAAATATATTCTAAAAGTATTCTTCCCACCTATATTGACATATTTGAAATATTACAATTTTGTCCATATTCAAAATATATTTCAATACATTTTTTAAAAAAAAATTTTTTAATATATTCTTCAGATTTTTTTCAACATAAAAGTAATTTTAACTTATATTTTTACTTATATTTGTAAATGCATTCCAAAAATGTAAATTTGTGTTTTTAAAGGCATACAGTATATTTGAAATGTATTTAAAAAAATATTTTGTAATAAAAATGCATTTCAACATGCAGTGTGTGTGTGCATATATATATATATATATATATATAAATATATTTTAAATATATTGAATATGGCCAAATTCAAACATATATCAATATATTTGGGAAGAATATTTTTAAAAATATTTTTTCTTCCCTGTGGGGATACAACCCGTCACCGAATATAATTCGATCTTCTTTTGAAAGTAATTTAAATGCAATTCACACCTTCAGCCATGTATTTTATTTCAGGTACTTATATAGCGCTGTCCATTTACGCAGCTCTTTACATATATATTGTACAATCACATCAGTCCCTAACCCTCAAGGGGCGTACAATCTAAGGTCCCTAACTCACATTCATACATACACATACTAGGGACAATTTAGACAGGAGCCAATTCACCTACCAGCATGTCTTTGGAGTGTGGGAGGAAACCGGAGTACCGGAGGAAATCCATGCAGGCACAGGGAGAACATGCAAACTCCAGGCAGGTGGTGCCGTGGCTGGGATTTGAACCAACGACCCTAGTACTGCCAGGTGGAAGTGCTAACCATTTAGCCACTGTGCTGCCCATGTACTAGAGTTTTAACAGCATTACCTGCTGCAGACTTTTTGGCTGGGATTGAATAATGCTAATTAGAACAGGCTGTTTCACACTTTCTGAGAGGTAATTGGATATCCCCAAGGAAACTAAGGTTGGTTATACATTATACAATTTTCTCTCCAATTTCCTTTAGATTTACCTTCAACTATGTAGTGCAAGGGCCCGCCCAATTGGATACAACTGAAAGTGTTGTTTAGGTTTAACCTCATATTATATGGTTTTTGGTAAATCTAAAGCAAAAATTCTCAAGAAATGTAAGGCTGGCCATACATTATACAATTTTCTTGAGATTTTTGGTTTAGATTTACTAAAAACCATATAATATGAGGTCAAACCTAACAACACTTTCAATTGTACCCAATTAGGCAGGCTCTTGCACTACATAGTTGAAGGTAAATCTAAAGGAAATTGGGCAGAAAATTATATAGTGTATGACCAGCCTTAAGCTGTCATACATGGATCAAAATTTGGCTGGTTCAGCAGGAACTGAGTAAAATTCGATCCATGAATGGCCACTTTGGTTGACTAGAAGTCAATCTGTAGACTGACTTCTGTTCAACCGCCCTGTTGGAAAATTTCTGCTCAATCAGCACCACAGGCAATAGACTACAGCTCAGATCTGAGTGAGGAAGTCTCCCCATTGTCAGAATACAAAGATGCAGCGGGGGAGGATTCCTCCACCTACATTGAAAGTGTGGATGAGGGAATCAGGTCATTTGTTTTCCATTCAACCCACTTGATGAATGAAAAAAAGAAGACTCACCTATGGACAGCCAAAGAAACAAAAAAATAACCTGATATATGTTCTAACCATTTATTAAGATATATAAAAAATAGCTAAAGTTACAAATTAACTGAAATATGTTTCACCTTCCAACATTGCTTATAGGAGACCTTCTACATCGTGTGAAATAATTTACAATGGGAACATGGAAGATAACGACACAAACACTTCTTTCAGAAAGCAGATAGGTTTATTGGTAGAAGGATCAGCAAACAGTATTGATATGGAATGGAAGCATTTATAAGAAAATGGAAACAGTATTGTTCAAATCCTAAAAAAAAAACTATAAAATACATAATAAAGGAAACTATGGCCAACGTTCAATTTTCATAACCATGACAATGATGAAAGTGCCTCTACAGCCCAAAACTTTGTTTTAGTTAGTTTAGGATGGAGTGAGTGGAGAAAGGTTAAACATTGACTTTCATAGGTATTACATTTGTTAACGTTTATTTATAGCTAAAAACTATTGTATTTGTTTTGGATGGAGATGCAACAGCAAGTGAGAGGAAAGCTCTCCAAAGTGAGCAGAATTTCAAGCAGTTGTCACCAGAACAGGTGTCTTATTGGAAGACTTACATTCATCTCTTGTTTCTGGTGGAAACGTTAACATTTTTGGATTTCCCATCACCTCCAATCACCATCACCAAGACAAATAGAAAGGAAGAATCTATCTAGCTGAGATACAGAAAATGATACAATTTCACAAGGGTTCCAATCCTTTCCTACTCTATCCAAAACTGGAAAAAAAAATCTTTGGGCTCTACATACATTTTAAATAAAGTCAATAATAAAAATTACATGAATTATATTTAAATGCAATTAAAAAAATGTAACATTTGAACTCTATTATAGTAATTAATTTATAATTCTGATGGAAGTTTTTGGATGAACATAGAAAGCGGCATAGAGGGGCTCAGTGAAGGTGGCGGTGAAGGTGTGGAGGTGTCTAATGGGGTCACACAGCTGGTAGAAGGACAGACGGCCAGAGTCATACTCCAAATAAATCCCAACATTCTTTAGAAACCGATTTGGAATTTATATTTATCGAAGTTTTGTTGTGCCTGAGTTGAAGATTTGAAGGTCTTTGAATCAGGCTCCAGGATTTCTCATTACAGCCAATAAATGATTCATTTCCCACAATCTTCCGCTCCATGCTCTCAGATGCCACCCCTATCAGCCATTCCTCCGCCCCACTTACATCCACTTCCCAGTAATGTGTCCCCAGAAGTAAAACTTTGGATACTCAATACTTGGTAACATTTAAACCTTTTAGGACCTTCAGGCCTGTTGACACCAATGTCAGTATGAGAAGCCCTCTTCCGTTTCTTTGATAGTATAATGTTATCATGAGCCGTATTTATGTCCAATAAAATGTCAGATTTCTCCAACTTTAAAAATTGTCTTTTTGCCACCAGATCGCTCAGGTTGTGATTTAAGATGCCAAGTCCTCTTTGCAGCATGTGTATGATGGCTCCCTCAGATATACATCCAGCAGTTTTGATATCATTGGTTGTGTCCCCCATCTGGGGACGAATGTCCTCTATGTTGGGTGCCTTTTTCAACACAGTTATTGGATCATCAATATCACACAATTCTTTCATTTGATTGATTGTCTTTGACATCTCATCCTTCTGTTGCTCCAACTGCTGGATCAGAAAAGAGACCGAATTTGAGATCGCTATATTTTGTCTGCAGCTTTCCTTCAGGACTCTGTGCTCAACATCATCCAGCTGTTTCCTGATTTCTGTAAACATCTCAGTGACTTTCTTGGCAACAGCAGATATTTTTTCGTACTCTGCTGTTCTATGATTTTCCAGATTCTGAATTCTCCTCTGGATCTCCTGTCTCTCAAAGTCTAATGCATTTGTAGAATCTCTTACTCTCTCCTTTATCTTCTCAGAGGCCTTATTCAAAGGTCCACCTGGTGTCCTTTGTGGTCTCCAGCCACCCAACAAGACACACAGATAGAGGTACTGTCCTCCAAGCAGTAATATTTTAAGAGCTTCTTGTGTGTGGAGCATTTTATGTCCTCAAATGATGCGATGGGTTTGCATAAAATATGATGCGATGATTTGCTGTGGTTTCTCAAGTGCTTATCACAAAATGAGGCCTCACAGTGCAGACAGGTTTTCAAAGCTGGTGTAGGAGAATCGCAGTACGTACACAAGACCTCTGTGTCCTCCTGGTGAGCAGATATGAAACACGCCATGATGTTACACAGCTTCCGGTTCTTCTCCAGTGAAGGGCGCTGTGTGAATTGCTCTCTGCACTCTGGACAGGAATACTCTCCAGATGTTTCCTG